TGTATAATATGTATAATCAACACAAATAGCCGCCCAATTACTTAGTATTTTTACATTCATCAATCATTTCCGGCAATTATTTACATGTAAACTCTTATCTCTTGATAGGAACTAACATTCATTGTTTGACTATTAAAATGATATTTTTATATAATATTAATTGTTGTGTAAAATAGATATTAATTAAACTTAATTAATAATTAAAACTTAAATTTATATTGCAATTAAAACCAATGCTCAGATTTATATTTCATATAAATTAATTGATGTACCAACAAATTGATTAATATCTATCAAAAGTGAACTGGTATAGATTTCACTTCCTTAACATTTATAGCATATAATGATTTGTTTATTAAATAACAGGTATTTTTATTAATTGTAATTTATTTTATACAATAATATGTGGAAATAGGTGTGAGTATAAAGATTTTTTGCTATCAATATCTATGGAAACTTTATACCTAATAATATTTTATGAGAAAATGGTTTTGCAGATAAAATGCATTTTATTTAAACAATTTAATCGTTAGACAAAAAACTAGGACTCAATAATTTTTTATTTGTTGAGTATTTCGTACTTTTCCTATGGTATCCACCATTTCAGTGAACTAATGCTTTTATGAAACATCTAATTATTACATAATTTTTCATAATTGAGTGCATTTCTAACAAATACAATATTTTAGTTATAAAACAAATCAAAAGTGTTTTTATATTTTGTTTCAAAAATCAAAGTACAAAATGAGTGAAGAAAATAAGGATCAAAATGAAGCCGAAAATGGATTAATGGATGACTCGAATAAAGAGAATGTAAAGATCACAGGACTCGGCGCTACCGGTGCTAAGAAACCACTGTCGGGGCCGAAGAAACAAATCAAAAAGTACTACAATCCCATGTGTGTCCTCATCATAAGTAATACAACACAACCTATCATTGATAAACACATAGTATATATTTTGTTTAACATATAGATATAATCTTGGTAGTCATTGGGGTCATTTGTTTTCTAATGGGTAAGAACATTATTAATATGAATGATTATATATAATTGTAACATGCTTAAATGATGTACAATTAGGTTGCATTTATGTAAAGTCGTGTCCAAACGCGCCGAGCATTCCAGCGGTGCTCATCGTATACGGTCTGGTAGTGGTGTTGGGATTTGTTTGGCAAAGACTTAAGGGTCGGATCAATCAGACCAAAGATGTGATGAAGAGAGTGGTATTCATTACAACAAATCTCTTATATCTTCTCAATATAATTATTTTCATTACGTGTAAGTATTATCTCTGTTATTAAACACTGATACGATTGTTATAGCATTTTAGACATTTATGTTTTTAATACTGTATGTATTTAATATCCAGGGATTGTTGTGGTGTATACGAGTGCCGCTCCGGACTTTGATGATGTCGACGCCCAAAACTATTGCAACAGAAATGTCTATCTATTGGCCCTGTATTTGATTAATACATATCTGTTAACAATAGCCGTAAGTCTATTGCTATTCTGTTGTTGTATTAGTGGTCTGTTTTTGGTCGGTTGGTATGTCAAGAAAGATAACGATCAAAAATAAATATCAAAAGTTGTCTGTATTTTATTACTAAATCGTTTGCCATTATTTTGTAATTAATTTTTAATTCATTGTGACTTGTTTAAAAATTTTAATTAAAAATAGCATCATTAAAGCTATGCATAATAATTAATATTATAAAGTGTAGTAATTTTTGTTTAAGTACAATAAATTTTATTTTATATCACAAAATGAATAATTTATTATTTAAAATATATTTTAATTTAATTTAGCTAGAAACAAAGAGTTATTTTAAACAATTATATTCTAACTCGCAAGTAAGTCATGAAACTATTTAAATTTGCTATTTATTTACACATATTGTAAAAAGTCTACATTAATTAACTTCATAATGTATTTTACATTTAAACATCACATATAATGGGTATTTAAGGCAAAAAACATTTAACTAAAGTACATTATTTGTCATTTAACTTAATGTGTTTGTAAAGCATATAATTTATAAACACAATCAATGAGTAAATTTATTTGCAAAATTATTGATGAAAATGAAGGCAAAAATTATGCTATAATTGATGGCAATAAAAATGAAGACAAGTGTTGCGGAACCGATGACAACGAGATATGTATTGACAAAATATCAGTTAATTCTATACCAAAAGCAGAATCAAAATCAACCAAGAAATGTGTTGATAATATCTACCTATTAGTACTTTGTAATTATCATTAATCATTTAATTAAATACAGTATAATTATTATATTTTATAATTAACAGGTCTATTTAAGCTGTGCGCAGGAATATGCAATATTACCATGGGTATACACAACCAGCAATCTCATCTATAACTAAATAAATAGATGTAATTTTCTTTAAATTAATATTTTTATAGGAATTGTGTTTATGAATGAGTGTCCGAACGCTCGGAATATTCCTGTATTTCTCGTAATTAACGGTTCGATAACTGTATTTGAATTTTGTTGGGAAGGACTTAAGTCTCAACTCACCATAAGTGATAAATTAAAGTTTAAAATATTTGTATTAACTTGCCCAATTATCTTTATACTATCCCTGGTTAGTTACATACTACGTAAGTCAATACAATTATTTAAAATAAATTAACTTGTAATAATTATTATTAATGTAAAATTTTTATTACATTTTAGTAATTGTTGCATTTTACAAAAGCGATTCGCCCATATTTAATGACCCGTCATCTGAACAATATTGCAACAAAAGTGTCTATCTATACACTTATTGGATAATTCACGCCTATTTTGCCATAATATCGCTATTTATTCTAACTTGGTTGTGTTACAAACGTTGGATAAAAACACACCATGGATAAATCTCTATAATATAAAATTATTCCGAGCGTTTCTCTGTATAACTGTTGCTCTCTCTCTCTCTCTCTCTCTCTCTCTCTCT